GTGAATGTCTCTCACTGACTCACTCATTGAAGCCATCCTGTCCACATACTCACATACTGAGGTGGTGATCTTTGGCCACCAAGTGAGTAATCCTTCTGTTTGCCAGGAGCTGTTATTTCTGTGTTCATTTGTTAATGGTTAGGTTTAGGTTAAGGATTAAACCCCTATTTTTATTGAACTATTTCAATCACATTAGTATATTGACTGATTTTAACTTACAGCCTTGTAAGCTTGTAAGCTTGTCTGTCTGTTATGCAGACATGGTTCTCGTCATGGAGATCCCAGCTGGTCGAAGGGTCGAAGCCTTCGTTAATGAAATGCACCGTAAGACTGTGATAAGGCTCCACTGTACGGCTTGACCACACGTCAGTTGTAGTAGCGAAAAACTCTGCTGTTTCAGCTCTTCTGCGACTCAGCTTAAATTTTTATAAAGCTCCGGTATGGCAACATGGCTAAAATGTGTGAGAAAAGGCATGCTGTACTGCTTATCCAGTGTATTTATCAAAGCCGTGGAGTTATGCTTTCAAACATTTTGGTCAGTAATCCTTGTCGAGTGGTATTTAGCTTACTTGACACAGTCGTTGGCATTTTAGCCATGCAACTATCGTACATGGCTTTGTTGTGCTGATACAGGTTATTAGTTTTACCCTGTGACGTAGCAACGATAGCAGGGCAGGTTCTGCACAATAGCTGATGCAGTGCAGCATCTTCTTTTTTAAAGCCAAAATAGTTCCCCACAACCGACTTACTGCGTGCCAAGTTGTTGCTCCCTCTTTTAGCCGACTGCTCTGCTCTCACTTGCATGTCACGTGAACAGAGTGTAATCGCAGCCTTTGCGGTTAGAAAACCGCATTTTATCATATTGTGATATTATCGCAAAAGCAATTCATCGTTCAGCCCTACTAGCTAATGCAGATAATTAAAATATAAAATGTTAACATGTGTTGTCTCTGCTCACAGCACTGCGTCCTCTATTGAATATATTTTCCTTCATGTTATGTCCTCAAGTGCTGTCGTTAATATAATGTCAAGCAATAATTTTGCAGTATCTTCCCAGGACTTTAGCCGCGGTGGAAACGCAGATGACAAAAGTAACTGTAAATAAAATTTTCTCCAGTTTCTCCAGGTTGAAAAGCGGTTTAAATCTGATGTACATAGGAAGCCTTACCTGTTACGCATGTCCTCCAACAAGGTCAGCAGCGACCTGGGTTTCGTGTCTCCTGTCTTCAGGTACTGACGGGTCTTCTGGCTAGGTTAATAGCCTTGTTCTCCCCACAGAGTTTCAGCCTGATGACCGGTCCACACAGATCATGCCTGCCCACCTTGGAGTCTGTTGCCTCTGATATTTTGGGCACCATTGTCAACGGTGTCAAGGCAGTGTGCCAGAAGAAGAAACCAAGAAAGTTCATACACAAAAAGACAAAAGTAACGGAAGACCGAGTGAACTCCGCAGCGACTGAGGTGAAAGTCGCTCTACAGGAGAAACTGAGAGTTTGTCTTCCCTGATCAGATCCTCCAGTTTGGTCAGAATCGATCTGTCCTTGTTGTCGCTGTAGATGTCAACCTGATGCAGCAGAGTGCTGACAGCACCTGTAATGATCTTGACGCTGGTTGTCCACTTTTGCTGGGTGTCCTCACACTCTGCCGTCTTTTCTCTCTGGTTGGACATTTGGTCTTCTCTGTGGCAGGTGAGAAACTCTCTCAGCTTCTCCTCGCTGCTGATAAGTCCCGTCAGTACAGCCACCCAGGTTCATTTGTTCTGTGAAGAAGCGGTGAAACATCTGCTCAGGTTATTCGTTTCCCTCCTGTCTCCTGGGCGATGGGTCTGGTCCTACGGGTCCACAGCAGCCATGCATCCGCCGTCAGGTTCCAAGAGTTGGCCCAGCTGTACGACGACATCATCAGCGAGTATGCTCAGCTGATGTCCGACCAAGCGATGAGCAGCGTCAACAGGTTGCTGGAGGAGGACAACAGTGAACCACAACAAAGGAAGAAAAGAAAGAATGTTGTGCATTTCTTCCAGAAGCTTCCAAGAAAGATCCAGAACAAAAGGAGGACACCGACAAACAGGATAGACACGCTCTCCAGTCCATGTGAGGACGGGGCCACTGCACAGGAGGCTGAGGATGAGGAACTTTTTCCAGAATCTTCCAGACAGGATTGCGCACGCTTTCTTAGGGTATGAGCCGAGGCCGTAGCAGACTCAGGCTCTCTTCCCCATTTTAAAAACTGTCTGCACTTGTCTTTGTAGTTAACTTGGGAGGAGTGGACTTAAAGAACTGCCAAAACTTGTTGTGTTTCAAAATGGAAGTTCAGCTTTCCTGTCAGTGCCTGCTCCTCCCAAAGCCTTCACTCTCCACTGAGACGACGGCTGCGCTTCTTCATCTCAATGTGGACTTTGTTAGAGTAGGTTTAACCTGCTATTTGCCCCTGGGGCAACAGGCAGGTCCAACTGTTAGAGCCGGTTTGACCCACTAGGTGGCCCAGGGGGTGGTGGCCTCTCTGCGCTGGTATTAATTGTGAATTACTTTTTGTTGTGGAACTGATTTGTTCATTATGATAGTTTCATGCTGCAGATTTGGCTCAGGGTGAAATATGAATTCTCACAGTATGTTCTAGTATAATAGACAAATGTATCACACGTTCCAGCTCAAATAATTTCTTCCTGTAATTACAGCATCCAGCAGAGGTCAGTTGTGTATAATAAAATCTGTAAATTCCTTGCAGCGCTCATATCATATTAAGGCTCTTCCTTTATTTTTAGGTTGACACTTAAATCAGTATTTGCTGTATTACATTTTTTTCTTCTTAGGGTTTTGAGAGTACAGACATTATCCAGGTCTGTGGTGCACCTGTTCTTTGTCAAATGCTTTAAAGATAGACGGTTTATTGTGTCATTTATGTTTTTTGTCAGAGGGTTTTTTACACTGGGTCTTAACACAGTATCTGGCGTTCAGACAGACGTATTGCTTACACCATGTGGAATTATGGCTGTATACTCAACAATAAAACTATGTTCATGGGATGTCTGTGGGATTCAGGAAAATTCTTAATTATTTAAAAAAAGAGAACGATCAGATAGTACTGATCCAAGAGACTAATTTAAATGACAGCGAACATGCAAAATTAAAGAGAGACTGGTGGGTCAAGTCTACTTTTCCTCCTTTACTACTAGGAGTAGGGGTGTATCCTGGTTCATAAGTCCTTACCCCTGACGGAGGTGGAAGTTAAAGTTGACACATCCGGCAGGTATGTCATGATTAAATGGATACTCTCTGGAATGCTGTTTCCTATTTAAATGTTTACTACTTGTGATTTCTACACTAAAGGGTTTTCCTTGTTCTCAGTGTGGATTGTTGAATCATCTGTGGTGGCCAGTGACTTTAATTGCTGCCTAAACCCATGTTTGAATAGATCTCATATATTAGCTCAGCCTGATGTGGGGAAGAATGTAGAATTGATTATTTCTTCACACCTAAATATGCCCTTCAAAGGGTGCTTTATTTCTGGACTGGTAATATTATTATTAGTGATTACTCACCAATGTTTTTGGTCATGTCCAGCAAAGTACAACCCCCCAAGGGGCAATGGTGGTTTCCAAATCACCTTATTAAAAATAAAGCTGTACCTTACTGACTAGTTTAATCATTTTATTGCTGAGACTAACACTCCAGGTGTGTTTCATAGTCTACTCTGGGAGACTGCTAAGGCTGTTATTCAAGGCTTTACTATATCATTTTCAGAATATCTTTTTCACGTATTTGCAAATACGCAGCTTTGTCACCTCTAATATAAAGTTGCACCCCAACGAGTTCTCTCTTTCAGCTGTAGAACGGGCTATTCAAAATCTTAACACCAAGAAACTTATTACCAGGTTTTATGGGGCCCTGTCAGTCCCAAATAATGAACACATGGCTCAAATCAGATCTCTTTGGGACACTGGTTTTGGAGAGACTACTGGGGAGGACAAGTGGGACAGAATTTGATTGAGCTCTAATGGTTGTCTATTTACCAACAAGGCTAGGGAGTTGCAATTTAAGGTTATATGTAGGTTACTGATTACCCCAATGAAACACAATAAATTTAATCCCATCCTTTCAAAATACTGTAATAAGTGTAAAACTTCCGAAAGTCCATATTTCCACTGTGTCTTTGGCTGCCCCCTTAATAACAACTTCTGGGTCAGTGTGTAAAGAAATTGATAATATTTTTAGTGTGCACCACTGAAGTAAAACATCAAATGTATGTCAGGTACCCCATCCTCCATCCTGTGCAACTCTCACAGACTCTTCTTTACCAAGGTCGTCTGGGGGTGGGTCAGGCGGCTGGGGCTATACTTGAGGCAGATAGAATGCCAGTGTTAAACTTCAGCTTCCCCAGCCATTTTGCAATACCTATGTAAAATTAGCAAACCCTAATAGACTGAAGTTGTCCAGCCACGGTTAGAGGCATCCAACTGACATGATGCAGCAGACATGCACAGTCTTGATCACTCTTTTCACTCACTCAAATGACAACATATTTATTATTCAAATGGAAAAAAACTGAGGGTGCAAAATATTAAATTGACGGTGCATGCTTTTATGCCCCTGTAGAACTGGCAGTCTGAAGAAACAATGAAACTGCCATGTGCAGTGGGGGTCAGCAGGGGCCCAACTCGAATATTTTTGCCCAAGATTTCCCTAGGACGTTAATCCGGCCAGGCTCTCAACTATCTACAGTTTCTTGCGATTGCTGTAATAAGTGTGTCTGGTTTTGATCATATTGTTTATATGGAACATGAAAAACCTGGTTATTTATCTGTCTGTATCCATGATCATAACAGTAGACAGGTTTTTGATGGTCTGTGTGCTGCTGTATATTTATTTCTGTGTATGTGTTTTCTCTCCCGTGAAACGATACAGTAATTAGTCGTTCAGGGTTAAAACATCCTCAACACTTTGATTCCAGTTTGTCCGTGCCGCGCCTGAAGGCATCATACAATCTGGTGAAGCCCTGAGATGAGTGAGGGCGGTTTGAGCCCCGGAGCCGGAGCTCCTCCTGTTTCTCTGTGTGGTTTTACTTTGAGTCGCGTGAAACAAGGAAACTGAATGAGAAGCTCCGGACATCATCGACCTGACATCAGGGAGGGCAAACATCGAAGTGTTCCCGGGAGAAGAGAGAGCAGCAGCAGCAGCAGCAGCAGCGTGTGGAGTCCAGTGAGCTGCCGGTGAACTAAACGTATTCTCAGGTAAAGTCGAATTAAAGCAACTTAAGTCATGTGAAAACTGCAAAGAAATCCCAGACACTGTTATTAAAGGGGGGTTCAGTGAAGTTGAATAGTGTTATTAGTATTATGCATGTTCTAAACGATTTATAAAGGTTTGTTGGTGGCGTGAGACACGTAAACGTAGCGTCAATAGAGAACTGGATAGAATAGAAGATAAGTGTTTTGATACAGTACATCACTCGTCGGCAGTTTCGCTTATCGACTTCAACCAAAATGAAAAATTTAAAAAAAGTCCTTATCTTTCAAGCCAGACCGCGTATACAAATACACTTCCGGCAGCAGCCTTCAAAATAAAACAAGCAACTTTCATGAATAATGTCAGCAGTGGAGGAGCTTTTTTACTTTGGAGTATAAAGAAAAAAAACATTTACATTTCTTTTTCATTGGAAAATGATTAAATTAGTCAACCACCAAAATAGTTGTTGATTAATTTTCTGTCAATTACTGTAGCTCTTAACATTTAAGTCTTGATATTTCACTGACTATAAAGCAAACATTCTTATACACAATATAAATCACCGCAAGAGAAAAATAAGATAACTAACAATAAAGATAAAAAGATTTTATTCTTTTCTATTCAATTCGGCTTAAATTTCCAACGCTGTGCTCTTTTTGACAGCCATTTCACTTTTATTTTGAAGGCAAACTTTCTTGATTTCCGGTGTGGCTTATTGACTTACTCTGGGTAACTTCACACAGATAAAAACACTACAAAATGTGTCTTAAACTTCATTTTCGTGAAGTGAGAGGAGCAGACTGTTTGGCAGCGCTGCACCGAGGTACATTATGTTCATTCCTCACATCATTTAAAATGTCAACATGTGATTTTTTTTTAAACATCTGCTTAGAGCTGTCTTTGTTTTTGTCACATATCTGTTGTGGTGTCTATTGGTGCCCACATGAAACCACACCCATGTTTGGCTGGTGTTCATCTGGTCTTACTTGCGCCATAGTCAAACTTCTGTGTCTGTAGATAATGTGGTCCGTAGACATTCACTTGTGTGAGACACAGTATATTCACATATGAAATCACTGTAAAGTGGGCATATGTGGGATATAGGAAGACTGAGCATGACACTGAAGGAAATAGCAGAAGCTGTCACGCAGCCATGTTTGGAAGTAAATGTGTGAATGCTGCAGACAGCAGGAAAGAGGAGATGTTGACAGCAGACTGATGTGAACAGGTGACTTCAGCAGCCAACTGCTCTTTAACAACTACCAACACTGTTTCCTCCCTTCCTACCTGTATTGCATATGAGGCTTTATTAGCTGATAGATCAGTATGATGGTGAAATGCTGTTAATGCTGTAAACAGTCATATAGTTTGCTAGTTTACTTTTACACTGTAAAATACAGCACTTGGTACATGTGTTGTTCACAATAAAAAGCTAATGTAATAGACTCTAACATAAGAATGTTTCTTTAAGTTATGTTCTTGTAAAATAAATTAAAGGCCCCATATAAATTTTTATAATTTTTTAGTGTTGATCCATAAGAAGATATATTTGTTGTTTTAAGAACCAAAAACCATCTCAATGTAGTTACATCTCCTCTCTCAAGCTTCTCTCTGGAGCTCTAGTTGCAACAGGTCAGTGAGCCAATCAGAAGAGAGAAGGCTCTGATCCTCTCTTTTGATTAGCTGACTGTTTTCTGAGTGATCTAATGAAAATATAGCAGACTTCAGGTAAAAACACTCAGTGAAACCAAATCCTTCATGGTTGAATGGTGGGTCCAGGTGGGTGGGGCTTGGGGTGTGGCTGAGTGTGGTGACTGCTTTGTTGTGACATCACAAAGTTACAGAAGTCCTGACGGCTGGTTTTAAGGCTCAGTCTCTGAATACAGGCTGTGTGTATTTTTCTGTGGACTGAGGCTTTGATACTTTCACAGTATTAATATAAAACCTAGACCTGCTTAATAATCAAATAACACATGGACATCTACCTTTATACTATATGGACCTTTAATAGTGGTCAACATGTCATCAACAAATCTTTTAAGTCAAATATTGATTACAGTGTTGTGATCAACACTCCAAAACCCAAAGACTCTCAGTTTACAGTAATGTTAGGAAGTCCCCAAATTTGCATAAATTACTGGATAAATTACTTGGAAATTGATTGTTTTTGCCCAGTATTCTGTCCAATGAGTAATTGATTAATTGACTTATCATTTCAGCAGCTAGTAATTTAATTGGTAGATGAATCAGTTGACAGGAAGCTATTTTGTAATCAAGAGAAATGCACTGGTTCCAGCTGTTCACTTTGGAGTGTGGGTCTTTACTACAGAGTTGAGGATCTTTCCATGTGCCAGTTATAGTTTACCAAAGCCCAGGATGTATTCACATCACTTATTTGATTCAACAAACAGTCCAAAATGTAACAAGATTCAGTTTACAGTGAATTACGACAGAGAAGAGCAGCAAATCATCTTATTTGAGAAGGGTTAACCTGCAAATTATTGGAATCTTGTGCTTGAAAAGGGATTTTAAATGGTTTATCAATTAGTTAAATAGTTGTAGATTTGTTTTCTGTTGACTAATGATTAATCGACTAATAGTTGCAGTTTTAGATGAAATAAAATCACATTAAACTTGATTGTCCTGCTCTGTAATGTGAACAAGCTCGTAGCAAGGGGATTAAAGTTAAGCAACAGCATCCTCTATGAAACAGAAACCAGTGTAGTGTTGGTGAAAAGAACAATAGCACAATGAGACCTCCAGTGGTACAATAGAACAGGAAATTGATTAATGGATATCACTTTCAATGTGCAGCAATATATCTACACTGTCATTGTTAGTATTAAATCTGAAAAGAGATTAGAAGTCTCTACACACGTTAAAAATATTTGTAAATGTGATAATTGCTGAGGTGACTGTGAACTAGTTCAGGTAAACATTTGATTGGCCTAAATACACACATACAAACACACACACACACACACACACACACACACAAACACACAAAGAAATACACACAAATGCAGAAAAACACACTGGCTTCCTCCCCATATGATGATGACTCATTTCCCAGTCATGCTGGATGTCTGAAGAGGGTTAGTTTAGTTTGTTTTAACCAGCCCACTTGTTCCTCTCAGAGTCCACATATTGTTTTACTGCAGAAATGTGCAGCTCTGCTCAGTGGTCAATGCTTCAAATGTCTCCTCGTGTCATTTGACACGACTCAAAAAATACTGATCCCTATCATCTCCTTCAGTAAATGCTCTTTTCTTTGGTTACTAAAGCCCACAGGGCAAAGAGGTATACTTACTGTACTATATATATTTATACTTACCTCTAGAAGTTCACATCAAGACCACTTGTTCAAGTCTATGGATCATTAATAATCAGGTTGTTTCTGGAAAGACGAGTTGATTTTAAGTTTTCCTTTCTTTGTTTTTTTTTGCAACTTTATTTTTATTGTGTTGGTGAAAGGGTAGACATGAGCAACAATTGTACTTGTACAGAAATAAGGTCTTTCATTGACATGTATAATGAGTTACACCTTATATGCACATATACGTAGTAAATTATTTACAGTATTTACATAACATAATATGTTCTTGTAACAAAACTCTCATTTGGAGCTTGGTGGTCTTAGTTTGACTTTCCCACAAATCATCCTCTCATCCTCTCGTATCTCCAGGCCTCTCGTACCTCCCATTTCTGTTGGACATGAGACAGTTTAGTTCCTGGAGTTTTGTATTCTGTCGTATGTATATTTGTGATATTGGATGTTTATTTGCTGTAATCTTTTAAGCATCAGTGGATATGTTGATCAAAATAAGCTCAATATCCTTTGTTTGTTTCATATCTTTACTCTGACCTGGAGACGTCCGTAGAAATCTCTCTTTTCAAAGTTATATGTATTTGTAAGGTGTTTAAAAGTCAGTGGGGCGACTTCTGTCCATTAAAGAAAGCCGCTAAGAGACTAAGTGGGCTCTTAACTGTGAAATCTATAACATAGTCCAGATGAGTTTTGACATGGTGTTTTTGAAACAACAGGTTCTGACCAGCAGTTGTTGTATCTTCATACTTAAAGCAAAACAAAACAGTCAACAGAAAATATCAGATCCCTACTCGCCCTCTTTGTCTGAATCCCGCCACACAAATGAACAGGTAAATAATGTGAACCCACACCCATGTGTCCACCACCGGAAGCGATAACCAAAACAAACGTGTGCAGCTCGAACAAATCATATACAAAACAGGCAAAAGACACATTTTGGCTCCTCCAGTCTGTGAGCCATTATCACTGGTTATAGTGCAGTAACAGTTACAGGCTGTTCTTTTCCAAAGGAAAATCCATTTGCGTGCCAATGAATGGAAGCATTTAGTCAAACAGACCAGAGAGCAGATTTGTTGTTGTTGGTCACAGAAACACACACTGTATTATATCTGCTCTGTTCAGTATCATCTGTGTGTGTAGTGCCTCTAAGTGACACTGATATAATTATTGACTGGCCTGATGAGTCCCATTAATGGTCTCCATGGTAACAAGCATCCTGGCAGTAGTGCAATACTAAAGGGCTCCACAACAAGAACAATAATGATAAAGATAACTATGAATATATCCAGATTCCACCCCACAACTATAACTACAACAACCACCAACAACCAATCACTTTCAGAAACATAGAAACATGACAGCCAATCAAAATACACTGAGCAAAAATCGCAAACACTTTTGTTTTTGCTCCCATATTTCATGAGTTGAAATAAAACTTTTTTCTAATCACACAAAAGGCTTCATTCTTCCTCTCAAATGTTGTTCACAAATTTGTTTGAATCTGTGTCAGTGAGTCATCCATCCACCTGACGTGTGTGGCATGTCAAGATGCTGATTACACATGTTTATTGCAGGTGTGTGTGGAGTTGGTCACAATAAAAGCCCACTGTGAAATGTGCAGTTTAATTTTGAAAAAACAGACACTTATTAGGCACTTACCTGTGGATTCAACACGGCTTAGGCGACAGATGTGCATGCAGTGCGTCACATCTCCTTTGCACAGAGTAGATCAGGTTGTTGATGCTCTTCAGTGGCTGTGTGAAGTTGCTGGATATTGACAGGAAGCGGGACGTGCTGTCGTACACACAGATTCAGAGCATCCCAATCATGCTCAGTGGGTGACATGTCTGGTGAGTATGCTGCAAGAACTGGGATGTTTTAAGCCTCGATTAACTGTGTACAGATCCTTGCAACATGGGGCTGTGGATTATCATGCTGCAACATGAGGCGGACGAATGGTTACATGTGGCCTGTGGTTGTGAGGCCACTTGGATGTACTGCCAGATTCTCAGAAACACTTCATGGTAGTGAAATGATCATTCATTTCAGGGGCAACGGCTCTGGTTGACATGTCAACATGCCAATTACACGCTCCCTCAAAACATGCAACATCTGTGGCACTGTGTGCATATTTTTTTTTACACCAGCCTTTTATTGTGATCAGCCTCAGGCACAACTGTGTAACAATAATGTGTATTCAGCATCTTGATATGACGCACCTGTCAGGTGGAGGGATGAGCTTGGCAAAGGAGAAATGCTCACTAATACAGGTTTAAACACATTTGTGAAGAAAAGTTAAGAAAAATCAATTTTGTGTGTATAGAAAAATAGTTTATATCTTTTATTTCATCTCCTGAAAAATGGGAGTAAGAACAAGTGTTGCGTTTATATGTTTGTTCAGTATGTATTTGAATTTACAGGGCGTCACGTTTAGAAAATAAAATAATAACTAATGTATGAACCGTAACACTCAATCAAAGGTGTATCTGCTCCACACAGGAGGATGAATCAGTAAAATGCTCTTTAAATCAAGAGCTTTATCAATGTTGTATCTGTCGTCTCTGGCGATTTGTTTTATGTAAGATAATTGATGGTTTAAACAACAGCGCAGCACCAAAACAGTGCCATAATGAATAGTTTACAAATACATGAAGGTTCATTGAGAAGGATCGCTCTGGACAAATCACACTCCAGGGAAGAGGGGAATGTGTTTGTCGTGTTTTTGAGTAAACTGTCCCTATAAAATATTATTTTAGTCAACAGGCCTCTCACACACACGCACACACACACACAGCTTCCCCTTTCTCATTTATTTGATAGACAGGAAGCTTCTGGTAGGACTTTGGCTCTTAATACTGCTGTACACACACAAGATGGACAATTACACATGACATCAACTTTCCCACCGGCCATGTGACAGGATGACAAACAGAAACTCAGACGGTCTTGTTTGACTATGGATCACCAGCAAAGCAAACACACATTGAAAGTTGCATTCCTCTGTTTGTGTGTGTGTGTGTGTGTGTGTGTGTGTGTGTGCATGTTTTGGGAGTGTTAGAAAGTGATAAGAGGTTTTAAAAGAGACGGATATCTTTGTTACTAATCCTTATCCGCACCACAGTCTGCCCTAAAGCTTCATCTGCAGGGTCCACAAACTTCTTTTCCAAACAGTGTTTTGTTGCATGGTGTGTAGTACAGTATCAGGAGAGGAGAGGAGTCAGTGATTTTCCTCCAATACACAGTGATGATACACAGTGTAAAAAAAACATTGGTTTGGTCATGTCATAAGTGTGTTGTGTAGCTTTAAGAAGTCCTCAGGTCATCTGACCCGGGGCTCCTCGCTGCCCCACGATCTAAATTTAAGATCAGGGGTGTCGACACTTTTGCTGTTGCAGACTTTGAAGCAGCCCCCCCCCCCCCACTGCTTCCTTCAAGTCCAGGCTTTTATTCTTTACCGTTTCCATCCACTTGAGCCACAGCTGGAGACTTATTGTTTTCAGGTTGTCCGTACCATTCTTGTGGACATGATATCTCAGTAACGCCTTGACAGAACGTCTTCAAGTTTGGCACAAACATTCACACGAACTCAAAGATGAACTGATTAGATTTGGGTAGCTAAAGGTCAAAGGTTAAGGTGACCTCACAAAATGCAGTTTTGGCCTTGTGAATGCAATATCTCGAGAACGATGTGAAATGTGAATCCCTTGACATTTGGCACAAATGTTCACTGGGACTCAAGGATAAACACATTAGATAGTTAGACAAATGGTTCATATTTTCTATGACTCTGGATAAACAGGTCTGAGTGGCGGAGGCAGACAACCACCAGGAGGTAATTCTAGTTTTGTTTTTAGTCTTTTCTCTGTTTTTATAGCTTGGATGCTTTTTGATTTTTATTCTGCTTTGTTCCACTGAAGATCTAATGTCTATAACATCAGTAATACACAGCCTCAGTCATTAACACTTACCAACATACTTGCTATGTTGTCTGCTAAAACTGCAGGATAATGTGTGTTTGGAAGTGAAGTGATGGTGTTGCAGTAGATGCTTAATGAAAAGCCCTGACGACGTGTTTCTGTCTGTTTCAGGGGGATGGTGGTTCCATATGAAGGCCAGTCTTTCTCTGCACTGAGGAGGCAGTGCCAACAGAATGGAGCTCTGTTTGAAGACCCTCTGTTTCCCACGTCCGACCAGTCTTTGTTCTACCAGAGCAACCGCATCGGCCGGGTCACCTGGAAAAGGCCTAAGGTGAGAACAAAGAAAAAATATGTAGGATTTCCACACGTTTCAGACAAAGGATGTAAAGCAATGATAGAAATGTACCTGATAACTCGTTCTTTTTATTCTCTATATGGTCTTTTTTTTTTACAGGTGTATACGAATGCCTATTTTTTAACACTTACCTGATGGTTTCAATCAAAACTGCTGTGGCAAACTCAGTGTTTACCCCATTAGACAACAGGAGTCACATACTAAGTAGGAGCACTGTAAGGCCAATGAAGTGAGAAATAATCCTAAACTGGTTATCCTAGTCCTAATCCTAAACTGTTGCTCACATTCACATCAGATCTGAAGGCACAGCTGCACCACTGATCAGCTGATTCATTGTGGGAATAGAGAGACAAGAAACAGACACAGGAAACAGTCGGTGGGAGAGGGGGCGGTGGGCATGAGACAGAGGAGAGCTTTCATATAAAGAGAAAAGTGGAGTGAATAGGAAGTGGAATTTGTGGAATTTACTTGACTGAATTCACCAACAGCCAGAAATCTTTGTGTGTGTGTGTGTGTGTGTGTGTATTTGTCCACTACATGTTGTGTTTGCTCTTTGAACAAATATTTGAGCAAATATTTGGAGGGCAGATCTACACCTCGAGGTGTCTCCCTCTCAGCTTCTGAGCAATTTTGTGTTGTTTCTTCCCAAAGCGATTCTCATATCTGTGGTTGAATCAGAGCTGCAGGGAGTGTGGGACTGAAATATGATATAAATTATTGCTCAGAACAGACATGGAGAGTTTTCTGATCTAATGATCTTCGGCTGAAACTAAATTAGAAAGCTTTTAAGGGAGAGTTACTTTAAATGTAGCTATGCAAGTTTAATATAAAACACCACAATGCCGTCTTCGCTTTGTGCTTCTGTAGATGGATTTTGCTGCTTTCAGCATGAGCCACAACTTCACAACAGTCCGGTCGTATCTGGAGTTGATTACATTAATCCCAAACCATTATTCAAGTTGAAGTACCGAGGAACTGGCCTGTGTCCTCTTGCCAAAACTATCACAAATATTTCCTTCTGTCTAGAAAAGTGACATCATCAGATTAATGAATGTCCTCCCACCTTCGTTCACTTGCTTTGTTTCTCTCAGTTCCTGGGTGCCTATGAGATCGTGATTATGTTATTTGATCCCATAAACACTCAGCAATTGAGCAAGAGCTCAACACTGCTGTTTGACTGCTGTTTGAGACTAACCTAAACACATTAGAAAGGTCTGTCCCGAGGCTTTTATTAGTTTCTGACTCTGGGAAAAACAGTACAATTCCCCCAAACTACTGTAACTCTGAACTATGTCTTTAACCAAATCACACACATTCAGGCTCATTTACCTGAGCTCCTTTTGATAATAACAATCTAATAACTTGTAATATTTTTTCCCTTCCATTCACTGAGCCTCTCCTGAAACTGTTTGGAAGCCCCCTGGTGAGGCCCGCCTCTCACTTTGGAAACCTCTTGTCTAGAATAAACCTTGAATTTGCTTTATAAAGAGTTGTTTTGTCTCCGTTTGACTGAAAAGGATCTTTTATTTACCAGTTGTCTTTCCTGTTAATTCACTTTAACACTTTGATGTGCTTCCCGGTTCAGTCCAGTTCATGTAGGAGGGTGACTGTGTCGTCAGTTAAACCTTTTTTCAGACCAGAAAATGCAGTGAGACAGAAAAGATGACAGACTGATGCGACTGGAACAAAGCCTGGATTTTTTTAATCATGTGACTTCACAGTGATCTGAGTGCAGTCAGTGTGAAGTTCGATAGCAACCATGATTTAGAACAAGTTTCCAGTCCCAGTATAAAAGAACACTCAGCTCAAGTCTGAACTCTGTGTGTATTATCTGCTTTTATTGTCAATCATTCATGATCTGAGCTGCTAAATAATTAACGGGAAACTTTAAGCACTCAAATCGATCAATATTATTGATTTGTTCAGGGAGTGGAGGTGGAGAGGAAACCTCAGGGTGACTGCATGTTTCAAAGAAGTTAAAACTGTACTGATCAACGAATCATACAATCTGACAATATGTGTCACAATAATTATATTTTTAAAAGAAACATGCAAAATAATTAGATCTGTATTCATCAGTTTTGGTTATTAAAGAATTGTGACAAAGAAATGAACTTCAAACAAATCAGTGCTCTTTGGTAGACAAGCCATGACATCACATCTTTGGCCCTGTTTGCTCTTGTTATTTCAGTTGTCTTGCATCTGTGATTTGATACTACTTGTTTGCACTTATCCACCTAAAATATGTGACACCACTAATCTGACTGTAATCTGTCTTGATCTGGAGATTTTAATGGATAGAAATAAGGCTAAAAGAAAGCCAATCAAAATCTGATTCTTAAAGTAGCTATCTAAAAAAAAACAAAAAAAAAAACATGGCTGGCATCACGTCATATCAACTGTTACTAATTAATGTAAATTCAATAAATAAATTGATGGCCAAATTAAATTGAACTGGCCTGGTGTCTAGTTAAATTGCTCTCTAGACAACAAGTGTCTGTACTTATCCAAAGATCTTATGTGAGAGACGACGCTCCACACTGGAGCATCAGAGTGGACAGTTGACCCCAACATGTGAGGGACATGTCACGTTTCATCAGTTTCGGCTGTAGCTCATGTCATGTGTATAATTAAAGCTTATAAACTACATAGTTTTGAATCAGGACTTCCAGTATTTGGCTCAAGTAAGGTGTGTCAAATTTAGCAGCTCAAGCGGTTTGAGTGTGTCAGATATTTAATCAATGTTTAGGTAAATAAGTAATATACTGGATATTAAAAGACTTGGATTTGGACCAAAAAAACTTTGGACATCCCAGGTGAAAATTCACCTGAAGCTGAATAACATGCACTCATGCAGTTTAGTCCCAACAATAGCAGTTTATTTAGAAAGCTAATGACCAGCAATAAAGTAACACAAGCACATGGACTCTGGACTCGTGCCTCACATGAACAGACCATGAACCAAATGAGAGTCACAGAATACTAATAATATTTATCTCAACAGGCTCCCACATTTACACCGTCTAAATCTAACCTTCTACCTGTCACTTTAACCTAACTTTAGAGTGATGACTAATTTTAGTGAAATTTAAGTGTCTCTTCAGGGACAGACCCTTTCATTTTCACAGCCTGTACACTGATGTGCTGAAGTTGCATTCATGCCCAGTAAGTAATTGTTAACGCTGGTGGGAGATGATCAGAATTCCGGCTGTATGTCACAGAAAAATGAAGACGTGAGAGGAGAAGTGTTTGACCTGACAGCCTGTAGTTAATATTGTAGACATGCAGATAGTGATGGTCACAGTCATTGTGTAATACAGTGAATACGCGAAAGTCAGGGGGGACTTAGAGAGAGAGAGAGTGAGAGAGAGTGTGTGTGTGTTGTGGTTGAACAGATGAGGGTATTTATGGTACAGTATCTGTGGGTATATCCTGTACAGTATACTTAGAGTTGTGGCTTGTAATTTAGAGAATGGGGGGAAAAAGAACAGCGTCTTTGAGATTCTGTCTGTTCTTTATATACATCAGTCAGTTTGTCATGTGACTTTACTAAATGAAAAGGAAGGAACACATACTTACAACTTATAGAGCCAGTCACTGCCTGCTGAATGTTGTATGAGCTGGACTTCAGATGAAGGGAGACCAAGCGTCTGTTCCCCTAAACTTTGGAATAGTTTCCCTCTCACTGTTAGACCGCGTGCTTCAACTGAGACTTTTGAAAAACTTCTCCTAACTGACTTTTACTTCTTCACTTCTTTAAAATGATATTTATTGTTTTGTAAAATTAGTTTAGATGCTTTTGGTGTTGTTTGTATTTCTTCTTTCTTTCTTTCTTTCTTGTTTCTTGTTTCTTTCTCTTTCTTTCTGAAGCACTTTCTAACTTAAAAAAAGCTTTTCTTATTTACATAGAAGACAATACTGAAACTGGTTGAATCATGTACAAAATCTAAAAACGCTTTTTCAACATCTTTAAAAAAAAAAAGCATCCACTTAAAATAATATTCAGAAATTTGGAGAAATACCAGCATCTAAATCTGAGGATTGGTACCTCTCTGGTCTGTATGCTAAATACAAAGCTATAGCAGCAGCTGGTTAGCTTAGCTTAGCACAAAGACTGGAAACTGGGAAGCACCTGGCTCAGTCCAAAGGTAACAACATCTATACATCATATCTTGTACCTTTTTAATATGTTCCAAACATGACATGACTTGTTGATACATGAGCTTCATGTGAGCCTGTCTTGTAGTTACAGAGTCGGTGGTCTGACTGGGAGGGGTGTGCCACTGGTTTATCCCAGCCCTGTGATTTGGCTGCCGTCCTGTTAGTCTGCCTCTGTGGTTTGCTTTGCTTTAATCTGAGGGCGTCTCTACTCTGCGTTTGCCTCATGAAGGTTGACTGAGCGCTCAGGCTACGCCCTGCGTCACATTCATCCACACCTGGCAGCTGCCCGCCATGAACACATCCTTCTACTGCCGCTGATCACACAGCAGCAGCTGGAGGTCGGCCAGAGACACCACAATAGAAATACAGTAGAAAAGGACTAAAATAGTGGACTGATGATATAATTAGAACCTTTACAGAGTCTGTTTCTGTCTCTTAGAGGGAAGTTGACTGTAAAATCTGAACTTGATCAATAATCCATAGTTCACTCTTTTGTTTGTGAATAGTTGTCTTGCCTCCACACAGACGACAGCCAGAGCCGGATGCATAACAACACGATATCTCAGTAACACCTCGAAGGAATTTATTCAGATTTGGTACAAATGTCCACTTGAACTGAAGGATGAACTGATTTGGTTTTGGTGGTCAAAGGTCAAAGGTCAAGGTCTTCACACAGCAATTATGACAAAATTTCACACAGATGGTTAATATTTTATGACTCTGGATACACAGGGATGTAACCTGAAACTAGTGTGAGTGGAGGAGACAACCACGGAGGTGATTCTAGTTTTTTTATCTTGGTTTTTTTTTTCTGTTGTCTGTTTTCATGTTGGATGCTTTGTAGCCTGAAAGAGTTAGTTTAATCTGTGTTGGTAAAATCATTCAGTGGATGCCAACTATCAATAACTGTAAAGGTTTTATATATGACATTCACTGCCACTTGAAGGCGCTCAAGAGCATCAGTAACACTAATGCTTTGTCGGCCACAGCTCTGGCCTCACTTCAGGCAACGCACTCAGAGGGTGTACATAGAAAATAGTTGTTTGCTGCTGTATTAATTAATAAGGATTGTCACTCTCATCCCTTTGCTGAATTTTGTGTAAAAGAAAAGTTTAACACTGATTGCTATCATCTTTAACCTCGTAGGAGTTGAGCGGCGACCCCCATCTGTTTGTGGATGGCATCAGTGCCCACGACCTGCACCAGGGCCAGCTGGGAAACTGCTGGTTCGTAGCCGCCTGCTCCAGCCTGGCCTCCAGGGAGGCACTGTGGCAGAAGGTGAGAGAAAGACCAAGAGGCTGTATACATGTTGTATTATTTCTGCATAGTTGCAGTTGTGCAGTTGCTTTGTTAGCTTTATCAAACAAATACTCTTTTTAATGGGGACGGCAAAAACACACATAAAGCAATATTTACATCAGGTTCCATCATAAGAACAGATTACCAACACTCAGAGGATCAGATCATTCTTTTAGTCAGTATTGTCACTGCTGAGTTTGACTGAATGTAAATATTTCTCCCTGTGAGTGTGTGTGTGGTAAATGGACTACATTAATATAGCACCTTTATCCAAAGTGCTGTTCATTTTGATTCTCATTCACCCAGTGACACAGGCACACATACACTCACAGACAGATGGCAGCAAGACACCATGCAAGTGTGTGTGCGTGTGTGTGTGTGTGTGTGTGTGTGTTATTGATGGGTGTGGGCATGTGTGTATGCAAGTAATGGGTGTCAGATTTGTATGACTGGATGTGTGTTTGCTTGAGTGTGTACTGTGGCAATCCAAATGATTTCTGAGTAGATTACTGCTGCTGTCACAGCACAGCTGTCACAGCTACATATGTGAATTGCTTCATGCCAGTTGGAACTGAATAATCATATTTGTACACAGTACTGTGTGATGCCATGAATAGTTTTTATTTGACAGTGAACTTCAGTGTCAGTGCGTCAGTGCAGTAACTAGGAATAAAAACTAACTAAATCAATATTTGCAGTGTCCACCCTTTGCGTTTAAAGCAGCATCAGTTCTCCTCTGTGCACCTGTCTCTTCATGTGATGTCACATGATGTGGAGATCAGGGCTCTGTGGGGACCAGACCATCTGTTGCAGGACTCCTTGTTCTTCTGGTCTCTGTAGATAGTTCTTTATGACTCTGGATGAATGTTTGGACTCATTGTCCTGCTGCAGAATGAATCTGGGACTGATTAAATGCATGGCATTAGGGCTGCACAATTTATCGAAATATAATTGAAATCACAATATGGCCAAGTGCAGTATCCAAATCACAGGAGCATTACACATTACACATTACATTGTGTTCACACAGCTAAAAGAACGTGGACACACGTGGTCCAGACTCCCTCTGAGTGTGGTCTGATCCCAGATGTGTCTCAATGCATCTTGGGTGTGTTCACACCTGAAGTTAGAGCTGACCACTGAGACGGATGTTAATACCAGGTCTGAACAGGGCCAGAGTGAATCGCAGTGGGTGAACAGGTTATACTGGAGGTTCAGGGCCAGATTAAACATGATCATCTTATTGACCATGAGGCCTTCCAGCCAGTTAGTCCAGCATTGTGTGTGTGTGTGTGTGTGTGTGTGTGTGTGTGTGTGTGTGTGTGTGTGTGTGTGTGGTGCATTGTGTGTGTCCTCAGTGTTTTTTCCACTGCTGGTGACCTCATTCCTCCTGTCTGGTCTCAGAGCTCCTCTGCAGCTCTCACTTTTCCATCAGCTGAAGGAAACTGAAGTTAGTTTCAGTGTCGTCGCCTCAGTGGAGCAGCCGGTTGTCTTGACACCTGTCAATGGTCCAAAGACAAACACTGGTTCTAAAACGCTTATTAGGCCTCTGGTGTGATGAAGCTGAACTACACAGGTAGTCTGACAACAATTGTAACAACATTTTGTCATTCCAAAGTGAGCAGACCCGGTAGTAACCATCTTATAAGTCTTAATGAGTTCATTCACACACAGAACATGTGTTGACAACATGTAGAAAATACACTTTTGTCACAGTGTGTACAAGTGTTTCTTAAAATTATCATTCTTCACATTGTCATTGCTTCTATTCATCAGTAATACTTACATAAGTTGCTTATTTACTTTTATTTGTAATGTTAATAATAGCCCTCTCTGGCTGTTTAATCTTTCTGCTGCTTTTAAAGGCAATGAAAAGTTCTTTCGTTAAAGTTAAGTCGTTGTCACTGAAGCTCGTGTTGACTCTGTTTTCTTGGTGTCTTCCACATGTTTGCATTTGTGTCCAGTTTAAGTAAAAAGGTGCAGTTTTCCCAACAAACTCACTACAAAGTGCTGAAATTAAACTCAATCCCAGACAATAGCACAGACTTAAAGTATAGGATGTAATAAAACTCAGCCTTTTGTTAGCACGATCTAACCAGTGCCCTCTTCATTTTTATGTCCCACATATATGTTTCTATATAGCCACGTTTCCACCGATGGAACCAGGGTCTAAATTTAGTTCCGGGGTAATTGATTGACCCCTAAAAAGGTACCTTGTTGGGGGGTAGTCCTTTCCAAAGGTTCAGGAACATTGGGGGGTGTGGTCTGCAGTGCTGAACATCTCTGACTGGTCGAGTACTCGCTGCATTTTATTTTACCCGCTATGTTTAAAAGTTTGCAGCGAGCGAGCAAAGACATTTTCCACACCGTGTCTGTGACTCTGTGTTAATCTGTACATACACTGTTATTAACACGATAACTTGAGAACAAAAGTAGAAACTTACTTCCTCCACACACGCCCCATATACAGTATGACCTGATTAGATGTTGGTGTGTCTTACTGCACACATTTGCATATTAATGAGGGGACTCTGATTTCACAGATATTGCTGTAACTCCAATGTTGACATGAAAAAACATAATAGAAAGGTCATACTTACACCACAGGTGCTCCATATGGAGTAGATTTTTTTTAAAGATCTGTTAGCATTCTTGCTGACAAACTACTAGCACTAGCAAGTGCTCAAATATCCAAAGAAAAAAACAAAATGTAAACTGCAGCTCCAAAGTACAGACTACAGACTGTGCTGGTCAAGCGTTCCTTATTGTCTGTCATCCTCTATTTTTTCCCACCCCATTTTTCACCTTCTCATGCTCATGGTAACTGAGTAACTGTGTTTACTGAAAATCATTAGATGAGGATGATTTCCCAAGGAATGATTGCAAATACACCCTCTCCTCCTGAGTGCAGTTGTTGAAGAATCTCGATCTTAAGTATCAATCCTGTGAGATTACTTATTGTTAATTTCCTTTAAATGATGTTTACATGCTGAGTCCTAATGTATGAGTGCATGTGACCTCTTAACAGATCCAGAAATATTGTTTGAAACTGTTTGATGCCTTCGAGGCAGAAGTCTGTGGAAGCAGATCGTATTTTAATTAGTTTTATTGTTTCATTTTTCTGTTTATATTTAAGATGCAGTATCTGACCTGCAGTTCTTGCTTGTTTCATCTTTGTTCTTGCACCTAAACACCAAAGGAAGTTAGTATATTTCCTTGGAGATAATTGTAGGTAAGGCAAATTGTTTTAGTTTAGAAGAGGGTTTTTTTTTGGTATGCATTATATGGTATGCATAGCAACATATTGACTTTTGTTTGTTTATGTACAGGAAATCCTCCATCACCCTCCACCCTCAGTAAATGGTTAAATGGCTCTTGGATCCTTGTGTTTTAATGTGCACACCAGTTAGAGACTCTATAGTTCAGTTATCCCTATATTACCTAATCAGGAAATAATAATCCAAATTCACATCACATGTCAGTTGCAGAGTATATAGTCTTTTACAATCGTTCTTCACCGGTCATAAAGCCCTTTGACTCAAATTTGTGATCAATGTTTATGAATCTGACTTGACCTGACTCCTCTCCTCTTGTTTCCTCCCTTCCTAGTCCTCTCTTTTTTGTCCCCTCCCTCCTCCCTCCCCTCTTCCTCTGTCCAGTAACAGCAATAACAGTCAGCACCAATGAGAACACACACACAAGCTTTCAGTCGATATTTAATAGATGTCACTCCATTGAGCGGTTTCGTGTCAGGCCGACAGTCATGCGATGTGAATATTTGATATTCCATTCACTGCCAGATGTTTTGCATCTAGCTGTCACTTCCTGTCTGTGAGTGATAAATGAATTCAGAAACATAAAGCAACAACAGCAAAGACGGTAACAAGTCACTAGGGCCACATTATCACAGTGTTCAGTGATCAGTGAAGGCGTGTTGTATTTACAGGTGGAATCTATTAACTCTTAGTTTGTATATGACGAGAGTCTCGTGATTGTTTTGTCTTCAGACGCAGATCATTCATTATAAAAAATCTAAAATTGAAGATGTCGATTATGAATGATCAGCATCAAATCATTATATAATATAGCATAAAGAAGATTTTTATGAATGCTCACACTTCTGTATGAATTTTGAATATTTTTTATTTTGATGATTTATGTTGATGATACATTGATCTTTAAAGTAGCACCAGGAAACATGCAAGAAAATTAGTTCCATATTAAGTCTAAATAAAGTGCATTCATTGTTTTACCTTTAGTCAAGGTTTTTTAGTTTTGTACTAAGTATGTGTTCTTTGTTTTAGTGGAAAATACTTTCTTTACACTTTAAAACTTGTTTTCGATAAATGTTTATAAAATTTTGACTTGGCTTTTGTTCTTTGTGCTAAAATGCGTTTTCTTGTTACTGTAGGAAACTCAGAGATGAGAGGGAATGAGTTTTGGAGGGAGAATATTTAAGATGAGGTCTTGAGGTATTGGTTATTGAAAAGGAGATATAAGGTTTTTCTGCTCTAGTACCGTGTTTTTTTTAAAGGTCAAAGACTGAACAGTATATTGCAGTGCTGTTCCAATAATCTAGCAGGTTTGCACTGGTCATTTCTCTGGTGTGAACTCCACCGAGCAGCTGAGATTTGCCGCCTCTGCCCCCTCCCTGAAAGCAAACAGGAAGTACATGACCTTCCTGACCTTGGCCAGCTCGGCAATCCTTTCGCCGAACTCTTGCATGTCCGCCTCCAGGCATTTGAGCGGCGAATCCTCCGGGTCGTCGACGTTGCGCCAAAATGTTCCGATGGGTTCCAGCAGCTGACGGGTCATCAGGTTGGTGAGATCGGGCGTCCAGTGCTGGGAGATACCAGTGATGGTGACTCGACCGTGGCCGGAGAGGGAGAAGTACCAGCGGGAGAAGTTCAGCTCCTGGGTGTGGAAGTCCAGCCGATACACGGCCTCATGGGGAAGAAGCAGACGCTCACCGTCCTGACGCTTCTGCCCTGACCGCTGCAAAGACGATACACGGAGACGCATCATCTGCAGTGGACATGAAGGAACACAGGAAGAGATGGATGAAAGGGTTGAAGCCTCGTTACACTGTGTGATTTTGTGCTGTCTGAGATGGAGGTCAACAGTCGAGAGAGATAACGTGGTGAAATCAGGCCAAAGCTGTGGTCCTGCATCTCACTGTGAGACGTGTCCACCGGCACTGAGTCCTCCAACCTGAACAACCATACAGGTTGTTTCTGTCAACCCTCTGATACGACCCATAGGAATGTCTCTTGAAATAGCACCCCTACGCCGGCAGGCGTACCGGACCTTGGTTGTCATGGTTATAGTAATAAACACACGGACTGTAACCAGAATGGCATACCTACCATTGTCCTGCTGTTGGTTACAATAATAACAACGTAGTTAACTTCGTCAAACGGTCATGGATAACAGAAAGAACATAAACACCTAGTTTCACATGGGAATCGAACACCGCTCTCCTGTGTCATATTCATCCATCCACCACAGCCTCCTCCTGACGTGGACTAAAAACATGAATTTAGAAACTCTCTGAGAATTAAACCGAGGCGTCTCTGCAGGTCTTTCCACAGATTTTCAATCGTGTTCAGTTCAGGGACATGACTTTGTCACCTTGACTTTTACAGACTTGTCCTGTTTGCTTCAGATTCAGATTCATACTGTACTTGCTCTCAGCATCAACATCACAACATGATGCTACAGTACCATCACCGTGCTGCACCTGTAGACAGGAGCACACCTCAATCATCTTCTAAGTCACGTCCATTCACTAGAATTTAAAGAAGGTTAAATTTTAGGGACATCATAAAAATGACCAGGTATTTACATGTGTAACTACATGTGTAAAAACATGGTTTACCATTGTGGGGTATGGCGTGTCAATCAAAAGAATATTTTATAATAATTCATATTCAGCCTGTACTACAATGTAGAAAAGGTGAGGGGTCTTAACCTTCCAGTGACACTGTATTTAATTGGTCTAGCGACAAAACTCAAACATATGTAATTAACAATGATATAAAACAGAGAAAAGTAGAATACAGACACATTTAAGAAGCTGGCACAAGCAATTGTTTCATATCTTCTCTTGAAAAATGATTTAAATAGTTAACTGATTTTCAAAATAGTTGTTGATTAATTTTCGCTCAATCGACTCATCAGTTAATCAGCTAATATTTTCAGTGCTGCTTTGCTCTGAGTGCATTAAAAAAGAATGGGCTACAATGTTAAACAATACAATTATTTCCTTCCTGATGCTGATTCCAATTCCTGAACTTGACAGTCAATCATGAACAACCAAATAAATCTAGTAAATAACACTTCTACACTAATTGTCCTAATACTAGTGCCACCCTTCATAATTCAACCCCTGCATACTGTCCATGTTTCCTTTTTACTGGTGGTACTTTCCCACCAGTAAAATTGCTGACATTCATGGCTAACCTTACACTCTTCGCAGCGAAGAAGAATTGTCATAATTGCTAATTATCATATTCTTTATTGCTTGATTTTGGCTATGAATTGATTTATCGCTGGGTCTCTTAAACATCAGAAAACTGCAAAATGACCATCGCAATATCCAAGAGCACATGGTGACATCATCCAAATCCCCAAACTGCTCAATGCAGTATGATCAGATTAGCAGAGAATCGTGTGTTAAACCAGAGGAGTCCAAACTTTTCATGTCAGGGTCACATGGAGAAAAAAGCCCCAGACCAAGAACCTTTTAATTTAAGAGTTGGTGTTAATTCTTGAGTTTTAATGACTGTGTTCTGTACATTTAAATCTGCTGTAAGATGATTTTATCACTATTAAATTTGCCGTTCCAATCCACTCACCGGTCATGGCTGAAGCACCATGGGTTGTAACTCTGTAACTCTCATTGATCACATATGAAAACCAATCTACACATTGCTGATTCATTTTCTTTTGATTCACTAATTTCACTAATCAATGAGTCATATATTATTGTAGCTCTCAGTCACAAAAGCCCTGGAGCTGCTGACCCACACTGTGGCGGTCAGAGAGTTGGTCTCCTCACCCTGAGTGATCCCAGACAGAAAGAAAACTGTATTTAAGGCAGAGAGCCAGTCGGTGTTTTAACTCCTCTGCTCTGATGAGATACCTATAGATGATTACAAGAGAGACATTCAAAGCACCATGCACAGAAAAATTTAAATATACATGAATAATTTCTGTCGAAAGCTGTCGCTCCTGCAAACTATGCATCTCCAAAAAGTAAACTTTGAAAAGTTGGCCAACAATTAAATACAATAGTTTCTGATACATGCATTTTAATGCAATAGATTTCAAATATGTTGTTCAATCTTAAATCTCAGTATATAAATGATTATATAATATTTATGTTTAACATTTCATCAGTTGTCAATACTGCACCAGTTAGGTTTAATCTTTGTTCCTGTTTCCATCCAGTTACATTTTCTCTCATGTGATATCAAAAATTGCATCCACACATCTTGTGATAACAGACTTTGAAGTCACTGTCATGTAGCTGGAGGTGAGAGGTTGTCATGTCAGTGAGAGTCTCACCTCTGTCAGTGCAGTGTCTTCTTTGAATGGCAGCACCATGGTGTTGAAGGGAGCTGTGGCCTTCTCCATGTCTGACCTCAAGCTTTTAATCCTGGGTTATAGAGAGGGCAGGGCTGGTCTGTCTGAATGGATGCTGTGATAGATAGAGCTCTGGTAGACTTTCTTTCAACCCCCTCTCTCTCTCTCTCTCTCACACACACACAACCCCCCACCTCCTCTCCCTCTCCCTCTTTTCTAATAGGCTCGTATGCCTCCTCTGTCTCTGTCTCCCCTCCCCTTCTCAACTATTTCCATCACAGCGTAGCAGTGTCTCTTTTTTGCCCACAGGGCAGTTGGGTTAGGACACATTGATTGGCATGCCACATAAAATGGGGGGGGGGGGCATCGGGAGATGAGATCAATGTGAAAACAGTATCAGTCAGAGGAATTAGTCTTTTTGTGTATTCAGCTTGTTTCAATCCTTTAAAACCTGAGACTTGACATTTCTGAACCACACACAAACACATATATGTCATTTCTTAATTAGTTAATGTTTATAATGTGCAACTTAACATGAGCATTTGCATTCTCATGGAGGAATTCTTCACATCACTGAAACCACCAACATTTGTCTGAATATTTGTCTGAATGATAATCTGAGGTGTAAACAAAACAAAAACCTGCTTTATCTCTGGTTTAATAATAGCACTCGAAAACTATGGAAAGGTTTGAAATGTCTGATTATCAACTGAAAACAGTTTTTTTCAAGGCGTTAAGCAGGTGGGTGATGTGTGAGGGTGCTAAGCAACAGACGGAGCTGATGACGTACGAGAGGAACTCTGGGAGTTTCCTGAGGGCTTCTGGGATGTCGACTGGTCTTGGCTCAATGGATCAGTTATTTATTTATATCATTCACCTCAGTAAGGCTTGGTGTGTGTGTGTGTGTGTGTGTGTGTGTGTGTGTGTGTGTGTGTGTGTGTGTGTGTGTGTGTGTCAGTGTCAGTGTCAGTGTCAGTGGGGATCTTGTGGCAGGATATGGGTGGATGTCTTTCCCTTGTTAAAAACTTAGTAAATCCTCAGTCTCTCATGTTAATTATAGAAGCGGAAGGTTAATTAAGGGGAAAACCTGATGTTTTTCAACTGTTTAGGCACCAACACATGGAAGCTGTATTATTCTGAGTTTATCTGATAGAGTATGTGAAGAAAGACTTGATATTGTCAGGAGTGATTATTGCTTTTGGGGAATTTAAGTCTGTAAACATTCCAGCCCTTGAGGCTAATGTTAGCTAGCATACTGCTGTTGACAGATGTTAAAGTGACAGTTAAAAACTCACCTCCACCTCTTATGTAGAAGAGACAACCTGTGTTGACCATGTGTCCCCACCCACCATCTCATCCAGAATATTTCCTTTTTTTAAATATCATGGTTATTGTCAACACTGGTAAACCGCTAAGTGGGACCCAGGGGTCCAACATGAGGAGGGCCCTCAAGAGCCTGGAATTCAAATCAGTTTTGATGTTTTACGTTATTAGAAGTATTTCTGTTAACAGACTAATATATCTAAAACAATATGACAGTATTCTTGTGAGTTGCAGCAGACTGGACTAGCACATGTTAAAAACTAATATAATAATATAACTACTAATCATTTCTGTGTGTGTTGGGGCCAAAGTTGGATGATTGATACATTTACATTTGTTCAAGTGTGACAGTGTTGGATTAACACACGGAGGCTGCACATGAGCAGGGCCACTGTCCCACAGTGCAGTTTACAAATCATTATTCAAATCTCACTTTATGTTTGAGATAAAACCTGAGCTTTGATGAGATGATGACCAGTCTCACGTGTTTTCGTTTTTCCCAGGTGATTCCTGACTGGAAGGACCAGGAGTGGGATAAAGAAAAACCGGAGTCATACGCCGGGATCTTCCACTTCCAGTTCTGGCGGTTTGGTGAGTGGGTGGACGTGGTGATCGATGACCGGCTGCCCACGGTGAACGGAGAGCTGGTGTACTGCCACTCCAATGACAGCAACGAGTTCTGGAGCGCACTGGTGGAGAAGGCCTACGCCAAGTAAGCACATCCACCAAGTGTGTGTGTGTGTGCGTGTGCGTGTGCGTGTGTGTGTGTGTGTTTGTGTGTGAATGAATAATGTATCAGAGCTGCAACCATCAGTCTTAGTGTCTGTCGGTGTGGCATAGCGAACAACTCGGCATACTACAATACCCATGAGCCTTGGCAAACATTGCTATAGAAAAGAAGCCAGTCTGAGGTGCAACTCAGAGTGGAGGTGTTTTCTCTTTGCACTTGTGGACAAAACATAGCTGTTGTGTTCATCCAAAATGAACCCAGAATCCAGACTGAGTTGATTTAAGCTGTAGATTGTGATATCAGTTTTCTAAATGCTGTTATTTTCAGCTTCTGCCTGTAGTTAGCATTGAGCATACGAATCTTACGCTGATTCTTGACCAAATGCATCTTGAAAGTCGTAGTTAACTGTTTTTATGTCCACAGGCCTGTACTTTTGACTTTTTTAAATCACAAAAACACATTCTCCAATGCAGCTGTTAATCTAATGTACAGATAATTTAACTGCAAGAGTCTCGTGCACCTGAGTCACCTAACATTGTCTGTGTGACAAATGAATGGGACTTTTGTTCAGACGATCTCCTCCCACTTTGCAACTCTATAACTGAAAGCTTGTTTTACAAACTGGAGGCATGGAGCATGATAGACATGAATGAGAACACGTTTAAGTTGCATTGTGGGAAATGTAGGATTCCATATTGTTTTAGACTGAACTCTATTAGGGACAAAAATCCAAGAAGATTTTGCCCCTAATGTGCACTGAGCATTTGTTAATGCCTTTATTAGATAGCAGCAGTGGAGACAGACAGGAATCACTTTTTTGATGGTGCAGGGGAATGCAGCAAACATGCTTGTTAATTTACTTTTTGTATTAACCCTTCAGTGTTGGTTCAGAAGAGCAGAATGGTTCAGGAAGAAATATCGCTAATGTTGCAGTTGCTATTTAAAACTGCTCTAATAAATATTCTTATATGAACAATAGATCAAAAAGCTAATGTAGAAGTGTCTCTCAGCTTATTGTGTTGTTTTTGGAAACTTTAGTGTGTCGGTTCACTGTCGCCGCCCTCATCGGGGCTGTTTCTGGCAGCAGCAGGTAACTAAGTTCACATGCACATTCCTATCCTTCATCCAGGTTTGATATTATTTGAGATGTGAACTTTACATGGGACATGAGTAATCTGGTCATTTATCTCCCTGTGAACATGATCACAACAGTCGCCAGGAGCAGACGACAGCAGATTCTTGTTATACACGTAGGATGAAAGTGAAACTCCCAGAAAGCAACTAATAAGAATCAACATCAAATTTAAAGGAATTATGAAACATTCCTATGATATCCTGCAATTGTGTTAATTTGATCAAACGTAGCATTTAATTTAATGAATATTTAAATATTTTGATTTCAAATTGGCTTCAGATAACTAGGCACCTACATATGAGAAAATAAATCCCTGATGATTCCTGTTAAACACAATACATTAAACTTTAAATGAGCATTAAAAAGTATTAATTGTTGTATGTCATATGAATATCTGTGCGTTGATATAGACCTGTTTTCAATTATTTCAATATTTCATGGAGTAAAAATGATGCTGAGTCAGCATTTGGATGGCTGTTTATTACACTTGTTTGTGCATCTTTACTGTTATTTTCTTGAGGGCAGAGATGCAGGAAAGAATCAGCCTGAATAAAAATGCATTACATTGTTGAGACACAACAAATCTGTACAACATCTGTATGTAAACATCAACGATTGCCTCTGTGTGTTTTGTAGGATGTGTGGATGCTACGAGGCGCTGGATGGGGGCAACACGGCCGACGCCCTCGTGGATTTCACCGGGGGCGTGTCGGAGCCAATGGACTTGGAGGAGAACGGCTTCAAAGACGATGAAGAGAAACGCAACGAGCTGTTTGAGAGAGTACTGAAAGTGCACAACAGAGGAGGCCTCATCAGCTGCTCCATCCGGGTGAGGAGAGGTCAAACACCAAACAACACACGCCATGCCGAATTCATTTAGGAACGACTGATGATTTCCAGACCGACTGAACCAGAGCTGCTGTGTCGTTTCCAGGCAACCAGTGCAGCGGACATGGAAGCCAGGCTGGACTGCGGCCTGGTGAAGGGTCATGCCTACGCGGTGACGGACGTCCGCAGGGTGAGGCTGGGCCACGGCCTGTTGGCCTACTTCAGGTCCGACAAACTCACCATGATACGCATGAGGAACCCCTGGGGACAGAGAGAGTGGAACGGGCCCTGGAGCGACAGGTGAGGAAGAGCAGGTGTGGAGTGAAGGGGAAAAAAGACTATAACATGTAAAGGTGCAGAATCCTACTTGACTAAGCAAAATGTGAAATATCCCCTGATATTACAGTATAAATGACTTTATTAGACTGTTGATACTGATGCATCAGTGTGTAGTATCTTACTGTCGGTCGAGGTGGAGTTGGTTTTAACCACTCTATATACAGTGATCTAGTTTAGTCCAGTGTTTCCCACCGTATGGGTCAGGCCCCTCCGCAGCATCACATGATATAAATCAGAGGTGTCATGAGATGATTGGTGGAGAATAAAAGAAGAAAAAACTAAATTCTGCCAAACAAATCTGTATTTTTCATACTGGATCACTTTCACTCTTTGGGTCTTGGAGAATTTTTTGAAACCATCTCATAAGTTTAGAAGTGAATGTCATATCAGAGATCAACAGGTATGAATTTTTGTCGATTCATTCCAATACACTAAATACCTATTAACTTAATATTAAGTCCCTACTTGTATCATGAGTCTGGACAGACATGGGTGTAAACTGCAACTTGACTGGTTGGCGGAGGCAGACAACAATGAGGCGGTTGTGACATTTGTAGTTCCAAGTTATTGGACTACAAAAGTTCTACCCAGAAATACACTTAAGTTAGTTAACAGTTCTCTTCAGTTTAGTCATGTTTGTTTTCTACTGATTTGTATCTGTTTGAAAACCTTCATGACGGAGTGGCTTCACTGATGGATGTACAGGTGACATGTTTGTGGCTGTTTGCAGCTCTGAGGAGTGGCAGAAGGTCAGTAAGAGTGAGAGGGAGAGGCTCGGTGTCACCGTGCAGGATGACGGCGAGTTCTGGTGAGTTTCAGAGCAGCGCTGCCCTCTGTTGGCAGAGACGAGGTACCTGCATGTGGCGCTCAGTGATGTTGGCTGTGGTCGAAAAGTCAAAAAAAAAATTTCCTCTCTCAACCTTTTCCTTGACCTTGATGGGAAACACACTTAAGATTAACACAGTGACAAACTCAAATCACCCCTCCTCAGACAGGATGTTTTCAGTTCATACACAGAGCTCGTTCAACCACCAGTTACTCACAGGATGTAACCTCACAACAAAATAGATATTGTTGAAAATAAAAACAACACAAACAGGATTGAAATGACATAATAGCATGAAAGGAGCATGCAAATAGAGAAATTTGAGCTATTAAAATACTAACTTTAGTTTACGGCATTTTTACATACATTTTTTTTGAGTAGAGAAAATTCATTTTTCAGTGCATTCACAATGGGCGGGGGTTTAATGAAACAACGTTAATGTATGTAATATTTTGTTATGATGATGATATATATGCTTGTTCCTCATGATGACTAACTGGATTTGACAGAGAAGAACTTCGATTTATGGATGTGGAGCGCAGCCAATAATAAAAGGATTTCTATACGTTTTTGATTGAGTCACAAACAGAAAATCGTTTGTTTCTCTGTTGTTTCTACTTTTATGTGTGTCTGCTGGGGTGAAACTACAACGGTGATTCACTTTAAATGTTGCTGCAGCAAGGAATTGTGGGACAGCATTATTTCCTTTCCTTTTGTAAAGGAAGCTCCAGTGTTTCCTCTGCTAAAGGAGGTAAGATAGGAAGATAGGAAACACTTTAAAAGCCTTTTCGACCACAGCCCTCGTCCTTGAAGTCATTATACTTTAATATAATGATTATTATATAATTTTCACTTCTTTCTGTTTTCTTTGTCCTTATTCTTTCTTTCCCTTGTCATAGACATCTCTGGTCATTAAAACAGTAAAATTACTGTCATCATAAATAAAGCAGAATTTCTACTCATCCATGCTTCTGTCTCTCCTTTCCCGCAGGATGACGTTTGATGATTTTATCATTAACTTCACAGACCTCATCCTGTGTCGTCTCATCAATACGTCCTACCTGAGTCTCCATAAGACCTGGGAGGAAGCTGTGATGCGGGGCTCCTGGCGTCGCCATGACGACCCACTTCTCAACCGAGCCGGGGGCTGCACCAACAACAAGCAGTCCTTCCTCCAGAACCCACAGGTTTTATTCATAGACAAAAGTTTGCACTTTGTGATAGTGTCAGCTCTGTTGTGCAAGAAAGAACAGGCTGTAGTAAAACGTGTGTGTTTCTTTTCTCTGTGTTGTAGTACGTGTTCGATGTGAAGAAGCCGGAGGACGAGATCTTGATCTGTCTGCAGCAGAAAGACCGCAGAGCCAGACTGAGAGAGGGGCGAGGAGAAAACCTGGCCATTGGCTTCGACATCCACAGAGTCAGCTGAGAGTGTGTGTGTGTGTGTGTGTGTGTGTGTGTGTGTGTGTGTGTGTGTTTGTGTGTATACCTATACTGAATATTGCATGTTTTGTAATCCAGTGCAATGTGTAGTTGTGTTGTTTTTAAAACAAAAAAGTAGCTATCAAAAGTTCACATGCAAATAACAGACTGAAACTACTCTATGCTTAATTATGCAGCTTCAGCTAATGTTATGATTATGATTATGATTGTTGTTATTATCATCAGACAGAAAACAGAAGGGTGCTCTCCTCTGCTTTTTGTCCTGCAGGGAAAAAGTTTATTCTGAGCAGCTTGATGAACACAGTGAAAACTGCCATGTCTCTGTGTTCAGGTGGAGTTGAACAGGACGTACCGTATGCATGTCACCCAGCAGAAGGTTGGTGGGAGCATCTACATCAACTCAAGGTCTGTGTTCCTACGCATCGAGCTGCCAGAGGGCCGCTACGTCATCATACCCACGACCTTTGACCCCGGCCTGGAGGGAGACTTCCTGCTCCGCATCTTCTCTGACGTGTCGTCAGACTGCAAGTAGGAACACACTTTTTTTCCCCCCGTGTTTGTTGTTGAGCAGCATTTTTGGAGATTGAAATGATAAAGTGATATTCTTATCAATGATAATTAAAAAGTGAGCAGGTTAGGACTGAAAACCCAGAGTTAAACCTTAAGTAACCTCGATTGGTCAGTGTGGACATTGCGGAGGAGTACAAGTACTTAGGGGTGTACTTGGACAAGAGACTAGACTGGGTCAAAAAACACTGACGCCCTCTACATCTGCCGGACGATGCTGAGGATGTTTTATGAGTCTGTGGTGGCCAGCGCCATCCTCTATGCTGTTGTGTGCTGGGGCAGCAGACTGAGGGTGAAGGACGCCAACAGACTTAATAAACTCATCCACAAGGCCAGCCATGTTGTGGGAGGGGAGCTGGAGTCTCTGACAGCAGTGTCAGAGAGGAGAACGTTGCCCAAGATAAGGACAATACTAGACAACTCTTCACACCCTCTCCACCATGTGCTGGTCAGGAGACTCATTCCCCCACGTTGCAGAGCCTTAGGTGATTTTGTTCCAGACAACTTAAACCACAGCAAAACCAATGAGAGAGACAACATAACAACATCTGACTGTAGATAAAGAACAAACACAAGTATCATCTGTCTCTGTCCGTCTCTCCTGTAGGGAGCTGACTGTAGACGAGCCTCCACAGACCTGCTGGTCAGGGTTGTGTGGTTATCCCTCTCTGGTCACTCAGGTCCACATACTGAGGGCTGACGGACTCGCAGGTCAAGACTCTGATGGAGGTAGGTTTGACTTTTTTTCTGAGGAAAGAAAGACACCTTACGGGATATTTGTTTAATGCCATCATCATCTCGCACCACATCCTTTATTTTTTGGTACTTATTTTAAATTAAGTATAATTAAGTATTTTAAATTCTTTGTGTCACCAATGTTATTTTCTTACCAGTAGATTACAGATGACGGTGCTGTAACTCCTTACAGCAAGTTACACAGTCTGACTGTAAAACAGTCGTGATAGCAGACAGCTACAAGGCCTGTATTCATCTGTGTTTGCCATTATTAAAATACTTGGAACATTAATGGAACCTTAACTCTTCTTTAGTCAGTGTGTGTCTCAAACAGTTCTCAGTTTTCTTTAGCATAACCAGTATATAAAGCATATGTACAGTACATTTATACCAATAAAATAAAAAGTAGTCTTTCCCTTTGAATCTCAAAGAGCCACATCTGTCCTCATGCATTGTCCACTGGATAATGACCTCTATACACTGTAAGATTAAAACCTGAAAAATCAACACAAACGCCACACTGCACTGTGCCTGAATGTTTCCTCAGCTCTTTTTAAGCTAACTGTGGGGATGTGATTTGCTTTTGTAGCTTAGACATGGATGATAAACACTAAATGAATCAAGAAATATTAACAATCAATTCATACAGAAAACAGATTCTGACCCAGGGGGCCCATGAACTCTCGGGCCCCTGGTCCTGAGCCCTGTTAGCTTGTTGAGTGATCCATACATGGGTCCAGGTCATGTTAACGGATTGTATTGCTAGGAATTATATATATTATGTACAGCTGGAAAGTACTGGCATGAATGTCAATAAATGAATGTATTTATGTGTGTGTGTGTGTGTGTGTGTGTGTGTGTGTGTGTGTGTCTCCAGTGTCAGACCCCTACGTGATCATTCGCTGTGAAGGAGTGAAGGTTCGCTCTCCGGTCCATAAAAACACACGCAGCCCCGTCTTCGACACCAAGGGGCTCTTCTACAGGAAGAAAACCAAACAACCAATCACCATTGAGGTGTGTGTGTGTGTGTGTGTGTGTGTCGGCTGTCAGGCTGACACAGAGTTGTGTAGATGTGTGAATGTTGCTGTTACATGAATCAGTGAACTCCTCTCTCCCTGTGTCTCTCAGATCTACAACCATAACGTGTTGATGGACTCCTTCCTGGGTCAGGTGACGTTGCCAGCTGAGCAAGGTGAATTCCAGCAGACGCTCCACCTGAGGGACAAGGGCAATCGCCGTGACAACGACCTCCCTGGTACCCTCACCGTCGCCATACTGAGCAACACTTCGCTCACCAACATCTGAGACAGGCTACCAAACCGTCCGATCAGGGCAGATTCAGCTGAACCAAAGTTTACCAAATGACCAGTTTACCACTAAGTCTTCACCTGTGGGTCTTTACCTGTGAGTCTTTACCTGTGAGTCTTTTCCTGTGAGGTCAAACGTTCAGCCTGAACACAGGGTTTACGTTTTACAGAATTACTATAGAAAACGACACGTGCAGCAGGAGGTCTGCAGACATCATCAGAGGAAGTAATGACAAATACAAACACAACAAACCTAATTCTTCTCTTCAGTTTCATGCCCATCAATGTGTGTTTGCGAAATGATTTACAGCGCCTGTATTGTGTGTCTGAATATCCTGAAAACATGAAATTGTTATTTTTACCAGTTCATAAACATTGTTTACAGTCCTTTAGATCACCTATTCTTCTGATTTGACCTTGTAACTTCTTCTAAGTCCTGTTGATGTATGTGTGTCTTTTTATACTGTCTTTTCTATCTAGTCTCAGTGCTTTTATGTTGAAATAAGCTGTACAGATAAACTTTCCTTGCCAAGTAGCAGAACACCGTGTTTAAACACAGAAAGCTACTGGCAGAAATCTTCCATTGTGTCATTAGCTCTATTAAATACACTCAGCTGGCAGTTTATCAGGTACACCTAACTAAACCTAACGCAGTCTAATACATAATGTTCAGTTGGTGTTGAAAGGGTTTTAAGGAGGTGGTGATTTAACTTTATGGTGATTGTGGAGGCTGCAGTTTGCGGTGTTGTTGAACTGTACAGCATTATACAGTATCTGTCATTTATCCTGCCCCCACTCATATAAATGAGGTCAACTGGTTGACCATTGACCACATCACTGATCATCATCAACGTCAGGACACTCTCAAACAGAACAACTGATCTGGTGAAGATTTGAACCTTTGATCTATATGCAATTTAAACGTTTCTGGTATAAAGTATTTTTGCTCATTTGGTAACCATGGTAACACATTCTGTAAGTGAGCTGTTCAATATTTTTAAGACAGTCATAAGAAGTCATGGTTTTCTATTTGATTTTAACAAAGACTTTCTAAAACATCTCTAGTGCCTTTGTTCCATAACACTGGTGTTACATGAAACTTTAAATAAGTAGGTTATTTTTTTAACTGCTCAATCCGTCCATCCATTTATCATTCCAGTTTCTGCTACTCATCCAGGTCGGGTTTAATTTTCAATTACTGATATTATTAGAAATATACAGCTGTAAAAGAGTGACAAATATGTCAATTAATTCATGGCCTTGGTAAATAATTCTAGGCCACATTGTCCCAACTGGTTTTCAATGACATCTTTCGCACTTTTGTTGGAGTGATGGTAAAACAGGTATTATGTTTTATGTGGTATTTAACTATTTAACTCAGTTGGCCTTGCAGAAACCCTGCTGAGACATTTAACATAAAATTTTAACTTAAATTTTTAATTTTGTCATCCCCAAAAAGAAAGCAAATACTCTTATTTGACACCAGGGTGAAAATGTTCAGCCGCCCTCTCTATTTCAAATGTGTTGCACCTCTGTCTGACCAAACCCACATTTATTTGTCTTCATTAGTAGAACTTTGAAATTTTCTTTATTTTCTAAAAGATGTTGATTAATTTCTTTCCAATTGTGTTGGACTGGTTGTTAGTGTTTGATTAATTAATGTCTCTATTTGTACTTTTCTCTTTGATAGATTCTTTTGTTTTACCCGTTCAGTGTTTTCTATTTACTGGTTTCTATGGTTTTCTATTTTTTCCTCTGTCACAGTCTGAGTTTGTTGCCTGATGAGCTCTTTTAATAAACTTAGTGCTGACAGTGTATAGGAGTTCATACTTGTCTTTGGCATGACTTCATTTTTCCTGCACTGATCTGCATTGTGTGAATTAGACTTTGAGCCTCTCCACTGGCCAAGAAAAAAAACACACACAATTTCATTCAATCTTCTCCCCTAACCCAGATCTGCAGCAGGTCATAAACACATTATGTGAGACGTCATGTTGCTGCGACACTGAATTCTAAAAGGTAAGAGTCAAAGGTGAAAGCTGACTGGCACTGGGAAAAATCTGACAACATCACTGACTTTATCATCATGAATGTAACTTTTAACTTGAAAAGCTCAGTTTGGAAAGAATTTATCTCTTGAGCAAATAATAATGAAGCAATGATATTACTAGAGGACAGGCTGGAAAAGATTTAGTCCATATGGCTGAAACACTTCACACAACTTTTTGTACCTCTGCACCTGCCGGATGTCGTGTTGTCCACCATAGAAGTCATCAAGAACATGTCGACCATCTGCTCACTTATTTACATACGAATATATCTTAGCTTATAGCTTCATTCGTGTCAGCAGAGCCCTGACAGTTTGAAGTGTAGTTGACACGAACAACTTTAGGGACACCTGGGTGACTTACATTCACTGAGGAGGACTGTGAGAAATGGTTGAAAGCTCCAGAATGGAAAGTAAGTGGACCTTGAGTTACAAATATTTCTCATAAAATGTGTTTAATTTTTTAATATTTATCAAAGTAGTATCAAGTCAGTGTCAAGTATTAGGAAAAATGACAGTAAAGGGTGTAAACAATAATATTTAACAGGTGATTAAGATTGTTTTGGAGAAGCTGTATGTGAAATAGCCATTTTGTCGTTGGAACTTCTGTTGGTGAGCGGTGGGACCGTCGTGGTCGGGACCTTGGATACGGTGAGGGGAGCGCCGTGTCCGTCGAGGGTGTTGTCGCTGACACTCATGTCGTCCAGTTGCTGACGCAGCTGACGCCTCAGCTGCTGGTTCTGCTGCCTCAGATCCTGTTTCTGTTTCTTCAGAGTGTCTCGAACCAGCAGAGCGGTGTTCATGCGCCGCATCAACTCTGGAAACTCAGATGTCTCCTTGAGAGAGAGACACAGCGGTTAGTGGGGCCAGCAGTGTTGTGTAGTTATGGTTCTATCTTTAGATTCTGTTCCATCTATCTATCTGTCGATCTGTCTATCTGTCTATCTGTCTATCGTGGTGCTTGAGAAATCTCTGACAACAGAACTTAACATACAGGAGCAGTCCAACAGACGAGGTCTGAGGCCAACAGGAAGCGCCGAGACCCAGAATCACATCCTACCTTTTCCACCTCCTCCCCCTCAGTCACGGATCTTTGATAATCTGCAGCTGATGACAATGATGACAAGACCTCTTCGTGCTTGATTTCCAGCTTTCGGCACATTTCACCAACACGTAAAACCTTCTCACCCTGAAACACCAGAACAGAGTGAAAACAGAGCGAACAGATGAATCAAACACTGAAAATGTTGTAGTTGTAGGTGTGTCAGCTGACAGACAACGTGGGAGAGATTTCACCTTGGTGATCATTGCCTGCAGTTTCTTGGCGGCCTTGTTGCTCTGTACACTGAGGTCGATGAGCTGTTCCCTCGCCGCTGAACGATTCTGATTCAGCTGCTTGGAAAGCTTGTCAGTCTTTTTATTCACCTCAGTGACGGTGGTCACCAGATCTCGTTCCTTTGGCTTATTTTCTGTCTTAATGGACTTCAGCCTCCCCCTCACATGAATGATTTTGTCCTGAGAGAGAAAAGAAACAAGAAGAGTGTTGAGCTTTGCTTAATGTTGTGCACACTGAGAGACAACCAGAGATGTCCTGAGCTGCAACTTGTGTTAGAACTGTGTTAAATGTTACAGTAGACACTTTTAAAACACTTTCCTCAGTTTTTAAGGAGGCTGATGAGCCGTCAGCTGTAACTGACCTGCAGCCCTTTAACCGCCTTGATCTTTTCAGCTGTTCGCTGAATGTACTGCTGCTCTCTATCAACCATCTTGTCCAGTTGTTGTTGTTTTTTGCGGCAGAACTGCAGACCCTCCTTGGTCTCAACAGTCTTCTTCTTTGTTGTCTTTTCATTGCCGTGACTTAATTTCTGTCCACAGTGAGAAGAAGAGACAAGAGACAAAACTGAAACAGGACAAGCCTCAGAGACTCAGTCAGGACACCTATGATATACCTGTCTCAGGTTAAAGGTTAAAGAGAACTGCCTCTGTCAGATACCTGCGCTCTAAGAGCGTCATTGTAGGATGAAATGCTGCCCGTGTACAGTGCCTGGATTTCATCCATCACTTCTTTGTATTTCTGCTCCACAGTGCGTGTTGTGTCTTTTAGATCAGCGAGCTGCTGCTGAGATTGTCCCTTCCTGAGAAACACACACCGTTCACACCAGAGGAAGCATGATCACAATGCAGCAGGGGAGAATCCAAAATAATGATTTTGGTGACAGCTCCACTTGTATACAAGACACTTGCTGACTTTGGTCATATCTAGCATTTGTGGTGGTTCTGTGTCTTTTTGTAGTTCTTTTACTTTTAGTAATAATTTTGCGTCCCTTCGTAGTTGTTTTACATCATTTTGAATTTCTTTGCATTCGTTTTGCATCAATGTCATTTTTGTTAAGTCTCTTTGTAGTTGTTTTGCGTCTATTTGGAGTGATTCTGTGAAGTAAACACACAATGTGAATATGTTGTATGTCAATAGTTAGTAGATGAGAGCTTAAACAGTCAGCTCACTGTTTAAATCCACAGTCTTTGCTGTGTGACGTTCTTAAAGCTTAATAAGCCTAATGATATATTTCATACAGATGTAAAGTCTTTATTTCAGGTGTGGCAGGATGCCTACACTATAAAATACTGTGGGGAAACCTGGACTCTAAGACGTCACAGCCGTGTGTGGGGGGCGCTGTGGCTCTTCAGACTCACCACTCATAGTTGAACCTGGAGCTCAGCTGCTGCATGCCGTTCTCCCAATGCTGCTGCACAGTCATCATTCGCTTCTCATGCAGAGCCCACAGACGCTCCAGACGCTGCAGGTGAACCTGGCGCCCCCGAGTCGACTGGCGCGCCTTCTCCTGCAGGTCACGCGCCAGGTCCTGCAAAACAAACAAACAGGAAGTGGCGTACTGAGAGTCAACAGGTTAACGAACAGCGTGAAGGACAGGTTAGATGTCAGCGCAGCGGCTCACATTGATGATGCTGTCCAGGCCAGCCATCTCACTCTCAAACGTCTGACTGAAGGTGGTGATTTCTTCACGAAACTCAGGGTCTTGAGTCTGAAGGAGAATCGCCCTCCAGCCTTCACCCACCTTCAGCAGGTTCACTGCAGTGTTCTTCTCCTCCTTCTCCAACTTGTCCTGATTTCAAAGAGAGAAGTCGAATGTGTTCAGAAAACACTAGAAGTTACATGTGCTGACTTCCACGGGAAGGTTTTAAGGATTTTAGTGGATAGTTGAATCATTTATGAAATGTATATAAGAAAATACGTTTCTCAGTATTACATCTACAAAACAAAAAAGTAATCACAAACATTAATGTACAAATTTCAACTTTTAATGAGCTTCCTTCTGCAGAAAAACTGCACGACATGAAGTAGTAAGATATAAGTAAATAAAGAGAGAGAGAGAGAGAGACAGAGAGAGAGAGAGAGGGAGAGAGCGCTCAGTGCATCATGGGAATCTCCCAGCAGTCTAGGTCTACAGCAGCATAACGAAGGGATGGACTCACTCTATAAGCCCCATCAAAGAGGACAGTTTTAAGCCTGATCTTAAATGTAGAGAGGGAGTCTGCCTCCTGGACCCAGACTGGGAGCTGGTTCCACAGGAGAGGATAGCTGAAGGTTCTACCTCCCATTCTAGTCTTAGAAACTCTAGGAACCACAGTAGAGCTGTATTTAGAGAGTGAAGTGTTCTCTTAGGATAATAGGGAACTATGAGCTCTTTAAGATGGTGTCTGACCGTTAATGTCTCTGTAGGTGAGGAGGAGGGTTCTGAATGCTATTCTGGATTTGACCGGGAGCCAATGCAGAGAAGCCAACACAGGAGAGATGTGATCTCTTTTCCTAGTTCCTGTCAGTACCTGCGCTGCAGCATTTTGAGTCAGCTGGAGGCTTTTCAGAGTTACTGGGGCATCCTGATAATAAAGAACTACAGTAGTCCAGTCTAGAGGTGACAATGCATGGACTAGTTTTTCAGCATCCTTTTGAGACAGGATGTTTCTAGTTTTCATGTATGAGTTGGCCTATATAGAACTTATTTTTAAATGATTATTCAAATCCATAAACTCAAAGCAATAATAGTTTATATAAAGATAGATAGTGTTACTGTCTGAGCTGCTGAATGAATATAAAGAAAAACCTGATAAAAAACAACCTAAAATATTTTCACCATGTTTTTTACAGTTTAAACATTTGTATTTGCTTATAGAGTAATATTTTTATGATATGATGATTTATTCCTTTGTATTTAAAAATGAATCCAAATTTGAAAATTTGAATTCAAATAGCGAACAAAAAACAAACAATAGAGTTAATATTCCGTTATATTTACATAAGAACAGGAACAAATGCTCTTTAAAAACTACAAACGTATATTTTGGTCATAGGAAGTCAGTAAAATGTAAAATACATGATAACATATTCTCATTGTCCTATTCATCATCATTAGATTATTATGTCCCTCATTAATAAATCTGAGATGAAATGGAGGTTACCTTCAGAAACTGTGTGAGTGTCTCCTCTCTCTTCTTGGCCTCCTCCTCCTCAGCCTGAGCTCTGTCCTGTAGGAACCCAGAACCCTTTCTTCCTCCACTTTTCTTGGCTTTCTTTGGCATGATCCGTCCTCGTCCTCGTCGCTCTGCTGCTGATGCTGGTCTGTTTAATATCTGACATTCAAAATCAGAATTTAGCTGTTAGACTTCAGGGCACAGAGTTAAAGCTTTTAAGACAGAAAATAAAGTGATTTTAGACAACACATGCAGGAGTGTTTCAGGGTAAATAGCAGGTTGCACTAATTTATAATGTGCTGTAGTAAAGTGACGTCAGAAAGTATTCAGACCCCCTCACTTGCTGCACACTTTTATAATGTTATTTTAAATTGATTAAATCTATTTTATTTCACAAAGAATATCCCATATTGATCTTGTATGTACAGAAGTTTTCAGACTCTGCTCTCAGTTCAGCCCAGGATCCTCCTGTTTGTTCTGATTATCCTGGAGAAATCAAGAACTTGACTGGAGTCCACCTATGCTAAATTCAACTGAGTAGACATGATTTAGACAGACACACACACACACACACACACACACACACACACACACACACACCTGTGTATGTAAGCTCCCACAATTCACGGTGCTCATCTTTTTTTGATTATAAATACATTTTCAAAAGTGACATCAAGCACAAATAAACCCAACAGAGATACAATAAGCTCAAACGAGAAAAGAAAGAACGAAATTAAAATATTTGAATGATTTTTTCTTTTAAAAAGGAAAAAACAATTTTCAGTCATCTTTATCTTAATATAGTCTAATAACTCTTAGTTACAGTGCTGCTGCAAACCTTATGGACTCTTCCAGTCTGTTAAGTGAATCTGAACAGATGGTGCGCAGGGATTCATGAATATGAGTGGTTGTGCTTCGTCCTGATGTCAACATTAGCACTGGTGAAATTTTTCACAAAACATGTCCTTATAAAGAAATTCAATTATCATTAAAAGTTGAAAATTGCAAATTGATACGACTTCGATGTTGCAAAACTGAATCGGTTCAATTTTCATGTTGACTATTTATTTCAACTCCTCAACGGCGAAACGTTAACGTTTAATCGTCGTAATTTAAAGGTTAGAGGAGCATTTAACGGCAGCACGTGGGATAAGTTATCTTCTGGCACCGTGTGTAAAGCTGAATCACATTAAGTTTTTAAACCTTACCTGCGAAACCGGTGAGAAAACACCGTGAAACTTTCTTCCAGACTTCTGCAAGATGTAGTAGCAAGTGTTTTTTTCTGTCTCCAGTCTCCAATAGCAACAGCTTTGATTCATTTCAACGGTCCAACAAATCAAATCAAAATATTCTGTTACAAGTAAAAGTACTACATTGATGTTAGTTAAGTTAGTCTAAAGTAAGTGTCTAAAGACAAAATGAACATGGATATGTTTGGTCAATATGCACCACATTGTCATCACAGATCTCCATGCTTGTGTTGTTTCCTGCCACATGGGTGCACTGAGCCCCGGACTCCAGGTCCCCAAAAGCTTATTGTGTGTCAACTGGTTTGTGCTCATTTAACTGCAAGTTCAACTGGGAATGTGTCACATTAAAACACAACACCAGCTGACCTGATGAGGGCCTCAAGTCCTGATTTATTAGCTGAAATTGAGGCCTCATCTCAGTGTGTAAAAATGTTTTAAGACAGCCCACTCCTCTGTTTACACCAGCAGAGATGATACAGTTCTGACCATTAAAAACAACCAGATGTGGCTTATACAGGTGATCAAAGGACAGATAAACATACAGACAGTTTCTAATCAAAGATTTCCTTCAAGAAAACACCTGTCCATTACTCTGAGGTGTAGTCTAACCTGACAGAGGTTATTGTTTGATCTTGCAGAAACAGGGATGAGCCCACAGTCTTTACACTGTATGAAACATACAGTGTGTCTGAAGTTACTGCAGTTAGAGCAACACCATGGTTTAAAACAGAGAAAAGAGAGACTGTAATACTTTGAGCTCATCTCTGAATGTAACACTCAAAAGAAATGTGGGAGCATTTGTTGGGTTTATTGAGACAGGTCTGTGTACGGGTGGAGAGGGTGGGCTCAGAGTTTCATTCACTGCAGGACCAGGTCTCGTGGTGCTGACAGTCTCGTGTGTTAGAGTCCCAGAGTCAGTGATCACAACTTCAACTGCTTCATATTCTTTTTACACATCTTTCCTTTTCACACAGGTGTCACATAGAAAACAGTTTGTGTCAGATCTGGTTCTGTTGTTCTCTCTCTCCGCTGTCATTTCAGCACTGTATCATCCTCACCACAGAAGAAAAGGTCCACCCATCTCTAAATAACCTGCACCGAGTGGCAGACAGTTAAAGAGCAGCCGGTGAACATCGTGGAGCATTTAGCAGCGGAAAGCCAGATATTTCCCTCAGACAAAAAAAAACTGTGCAGTGAGCCAATACTGAATTTAAATTCATCAGGTGGACATAACCATAGCTTAAAATAAATAATGATACTGTCACTGTTGAAACATGTTCATCCCACATCAAATTAAATGATGGTGATGATGTTCACAGCTTGTTTCCACTGCCCTCATGTGGCCTTAATAAATGAATTATTGCAGGTTCAACTATTGCTTTTAACTTATTTTGGCTGTTAAGCCCTGAAATTGTGTGTGTGTGTGTGTGTGTGTGTGTGTGTGTGTGTGTGTGTGTGTGTGTGTGTGTGTATGATTTCTATTTTTCTTATGTTGAAGGCTTAATCACCCCCCCCCCTCTCTCTCTCCCTCTCTCTCTCTCTCTCTCTCTCTCTCTCTCTCTCTCTCTCTCTCTCTCTCCCAGGGATCAGTGGCAGTGAATGAGCAGCTTGCCGTGTCACTGTTAATACCACCAACAAGGAAGAGGGTGGGGAGGAGGGAGGGGAGGCAGGAGGAGAGTCATTCACTGCTTGAAACTCCGTATACCTTCACACTAAAGAAAGAAGAGAGAGAAAGAAAAGAACAGAAGAAGAAAATTTGTCCTTTTCTTAAAGTTAAGCAGCAGAAGTAAGGAGAGTCACATCTGCCAAGAGAGAGGGAGGAAAAGAGAAAGAGAGAAAAGAGAGAAGGCACTGGAGATAAGGAAAGCTCTCAGTTAGGAGGACAGGATAGAAATGGAGGTGTCACTGTTTTTCTCCCAGCTCCTTCTGCTGTGGGATTAACAAGTTTCTCTACACCTCCTGAAGAAAGACTGGACTGTCTCGTTCTCCGTTCTGTTCTCCTGTTCTTCATCCCTCCATCCACCAGGCAGGACGTCTGTGGCAAGACCCAAAACCGAAACAAAGGGAGGACAGAGAGAGAGAACCTGGGGAACGAGAAGAGTTCAGATCACGCAAAAGGGTGAGGGACAAACGGTCGGTGGGCTACAGAGGCATGTTGGCTTTATGCATAATCTTCTTACTGTGTGTTTGTGTGTGTGTGTGTGTGTGTGTGTGTGTGTGTGTTCTTTTCCTTTAAAGGGCCATGGTGTATTTTTGCACACTGATCCGGCTGACACGTCTTTATTTCTTAAAATATTTCCAGGTGAATATAAAAACTTCACACTTTCCTGTGGAAATGTATGGATCTATGTGAATAACACAAAAACATAACACCGCATAATAAATTCACCATGTCAACATTTAATCGAACTGTAGAAGGAGCACGTATGTGATGCAAACAATATTTAAATGGTTTGTTTACTGTATCTTTAAGATTATGACTTGCTTTTTAGATGGGTATCATATTCTATAATGTTAATAATGCATGAATCAACTGCTCCTAGTTTGTGATAATAATAAGGTACACTACAAGTAACGCTGTCAGGAACAGGAAGCAGGAAAAAAAACTCTGGTGACTGGCTCAAAGGAAAAACACTAGGAAACAAAATGAGGTAGCAGAGGCACAGGGAAACACAGAACTGACAAACTGACAGAGTGAAGGGAACATGGAGACTTAATACACAAGGAAGGACAACGGTAATCGGGAACAGGTGAAACTAATTGGTAGACAATCACACAGGACACGAGGGCAGGGAGTAAAACAACCAATAGAGACGCAAGGAAAGTCATTTTAAATTAAACAGGAAATGACACAGGAAGTCACACAGAGAGGCAGGTCATGACAGAGGATCGGTAAATGTAAAGGGTTGTGAAATAATTAAGAATAGATGAGAGAAGAAGACAAAATATTACGGAGAATCATATTTACTGTTCTAGCCTTTTCTCAAAATGTTTGAAATATTGGAGAGTTTACCTCCAGTTCATATCAAGCAATGCATGAAGGGAATATCAAATTTCAAATTGAGTTTAAGAAAACATTTAAATATAATGTCATGAGTCCACATGAATGGAGATGCTAATAATATAGAACAGCAGAATTAACTGGCTGATTATCTAGAAATAATCAGATTTTGACTATTTTTATTCTTGCAGTGAGCCAAAGGCTGAAAATCTTTACCCATCTACTTGACTGGCTCATCTTTACTATACTTTGTATCTGAGCTAATTCAAAGAAAGAAATGTAGAAAATAGGTTGTAGAAGACACTCTAGTCATGTCAAGTATGAGCATAACGAATTTTGTTGGTCCATGCCCTCCAGAACAGCACGTAAGAGTTTTCTGATGTGACGTCACTACGGACAGGACTACAGCGCCATTTCAAAAAATAAAATAAAATGAATAAAGATAAATGACACATTTTCTGACAATCTTACACAACTATGGTTAAAGTGTGGTTAGGTGTAGACACAAAAATGACTTGGTGAGGGTTAGGGAGACATTGTGGTTTGGATTGAAATAATAAGGTGTTAGTTGTGACTTGAATGTAAACATAGGTTGTTTGGGGAACTTGCTGAAATCACTGATCCTCTTGGTCTTAATGATGGAGTTCTGTGTGTCAGAACCTTGCTTCAGAATGAATAGTGAATAGTTGTTGATCATCTCTTACACTTTTGACCACACGTCCCTGTCGTCTGGTATTAGATGATTTGCGCAGCTGTACTTTAGTAATGCTTCACATACATTTGTTGTACTGTACATTCATATTTTTGTCAGTGAACACACTGTTGCAAACTTGTACCGAAACACTCTGAAAAGTATA